TTATTTATTTATTTATTTATTTATTTATTTATTTATTTATTTATTTATTCATTATCACGGTGCTGTTTCTAAGTGCTTGTGTAACCGTGCGGCCAGTATGCTGAAAACCTCCCGTGATCTGCTCAGCTTTGTCTCCTTCACTTCTCTCCAGGAAGTGTTTACAAGTTCTGCCTTTCCCAAAAAAGCCATTTTATATCACCATGTCGTCGTATTGCGCTGCGCGCTCGTCTTAAACAAAAGCAGCTCTCTCCAGGAGGAAARTTGCTGTCAGTCAATGAAAGAGTTAATCCATGGGCAGAATTCTGCTGACGTTAAAATCATAAGCGTGCTGTACTCACTTCTACCCAAACCACCGGAGAGAAGGTTCTGAGACAACGCGGCTGTGGAGCGTGTGAGGTGAAAAACAGGTCTTCTTGGCTCTGCGAACTGTGTTGTTGTCCTGAAGAGAGAAACTCTGAAACATGGCTGGTTGAACAGCAAAAATRTTTATTTTGCAGTCCAGGAGATTTACAGCCAAAAACCAATTGTGGCCTTCTGTGCCAAAATGAACAACAGAATAGAAGAAAACGCACAGGGGCGTACAGGCCTTTTCATAGGTTTCAAAACACAGTTCCCACAGATGCACATACATTTGTCARGGTATATCCTAGCATTCCTTTCCTAATATGGTAATGTGCCGAGTTCTGAAGCTAGTGGCCTAAAAAAAGAAAACAGCACATCTGTGCATTCCTGAGAAGAGGCCTCCACTTTTAGACACTTCATGCTCTTGGAYAGGCGCATTGAGCCGAGACCGAGCCGAGTCGAACCGCATACAAGAGAGTCCGTGGAGATTATGTGCCACGGCTGTCACTTTTAACAGTGAACACCAGAGGGCGCAAATTAACAGCTTTCTTTGAGGCACCAAATTAAAGCACCGAAGTTAGAGATGTGTTTTGGCCCGTGTACTACCGTGGATGTTCACCCCGGTGCCATAATAGAACCGAGTTTCTGTACCCAACCCTACATTCAATAGAATGTGCTGTCATGTTGGTTTTACAGCCTCATGATGCGGCGCCTGCAGGTTTTTATCGGAGAAAAACTCACCATCGCACCTGACACAAATACAGGCCACATGAGCGCAATGCGCATGGTGCTGAAAAACACCGCATTTGTCCCACACCAGGCCTAACACACAGTGTGACGCACACACACTGTCCCGCTTTTGACTCACGAAAAGTAAAAGTAGTTGGAAAAACACAATAAAACAACAAATTGCAAACTGASCTCATCAGGAGGAACTATTTTGTGAGGCMAATTAATTTTGCCATTATGAATCGGCCGCACCTGGTGGTTTATGAAAGCCTCAAGCTCCGAGGGAAGAGGAACTGGCAGGGACAGTTCAGAAACAATATGGGGTGTGAAAAAACTATATGTAAACAGATTGGTTGTGTTTTATACTGCCTATTGCTAACAGGTCTATTCTGACAAAGTGCAGCTGTGATCTGGTTCTGAAGACAGCTTTATGGTTGACAGCTGCTGCCCCCTCTTCCCGGTACTGCGTACCGGCACAGAATCTTTTAGTGGTACACAGTACCGGGCTGTACCAGCTTACTTTCACCCCTGGTCTGCAGTTATGTCCATGCTGCACTTTGTAGATCAGTGGACTTGTCAATCTTTCCAAGATAGATCCAATGTCTAATTCATATATTTTTCTGGTCCAGCGGCTGGAGGACAATATGATCACTTTTGTGAAAAACAAGCTGAAGAAGCTCAAGAAGGTTCTGAGTCCAGATTACCCAGAATGCTTAGAGAGTCAGAGGGAGGATGAAGAGTTGTTGGAGGGTGAGGATGAAGAGCAGAGAAGGATCAACACAGATGCACTTGTGAAAATCACAGTTTACCTCTTGAGAATGATGAAGCAGGAGAAGCTGGCTGATCATCTTCAGAGCAGTAGGAGAATTCTAAAAATATTTCATTTTTGAGATTTTATTATTAAATTTTTTTGAATGTTTTATTAATAATGAAATTAATCTTTTTTTTTTTCATTTAGTACATTTTGCTCCAGTTTGTGAGCATAGCCTTAAATCCTGTCTGAAGAAGAAGTTCCAGTGTGTGTTTGAGGGGATCGCTAAAGCAGGAAAGCCAACCCTTCTGAACGAGATCTACACAGAGCTCTACATCACAGAGGGAGGAACTGAAGAGGTCAATAAGGAACACGAGGTCAGACAGATTGAAACAGCATCCAGGAAA